GGAGGGACCAAGTAGTGATTGTAATGAAAAAAGTTATATTAAGTCAATTATATTATAGGGATTCACAACAAAACAAATAAAAATATTATTACACAAGGAAATAAAAATATTATTACACAAGGTCAGAAATGTATAAATGATTTGAGGGGTATTGCCATATCTTTGGGTTATAGGTTTTGTGGCAACTAGGCGTGTAAAACAACCCAAGCCTATGTCTTTCATATATATTATAAAAATATCAAATGACATATATCATGCATATAAATTTATTTTATACATTACATCCTTGGTTAAAGATGGATATCTTTGGGTTATAGGTTTTCTATTTTTTTCTTTCTCTCTCTATTTTCTTCCCTTTTATAATATATTACCCAAGCCCATGTCCTTTTTTTTCTCTCTTTACATCCTTGGTTAAAGGGGAATTAATTGACATATATCAATCGGGAGTAGCTAGAGGGTGTAATAGCCCAGTTTGCGGCCTTTTGCGAAGAACATGCCCGATCAAAACCATCTCCTCATTCCTCAACAAATCAAAGTACTTGTCTGTCAGCATCGGTAACCTTTTCCGCCTTCATACCTCCGAATACATCAACAACTTTCCCACCTTTCACATCATCTTCATTCCCAACATCCGCCACACCCAACACTACCTTTACACCCCCCCCCCTTTTGTATTCATTGCTTCGTCACACCAACCTCCACCCCAATTAACCTTTACCTTTGCTGAACAATCCTACTGTCAACCCTCACGTCAACCAACCTTCAACTTTTCAGGGAAATCCTATACTCGGCCCTCTCCACCCCTTTTCGGCGAAGATAATCCCAAGTTCACTATACCACCTCCCCTATTCCAAACCTCCCTAAAGGATGATGTGGAGAGATTGAAAGAAGAGATGATGCAAGTGAAGGGAGTGTATAATTTAGGAATCACGGATTTTAAGGAGATATGCTTATACCCGGAGGCCAAGCTGCCCGAGAAGTTCAAGATGCCTAATTTTGAAAAACATGATGGAAAAGACTATCCACAAACTCACTTAAAAGTCTTTTGTAGGGATATGTTTCAATATGGTTCTGATGAGAAGCTCTTAATCCAAATGTTTTAGAAATGTGGTTTGCTAATCTTGAGGAAGAGAAAAAGAAATCATGGAAACAAGTATCTAAAGAGTTCTTAGACCACTTTTCCTACAACATGGAACTAGTGCCAAATCGAGCAGATCTTGAGTCCATGACTCAGAATCATGGAGAATCTTTCCCAGATTATGCTTATAGGTGGCGTGAAATGGAATCCCAACTACGACACCCCATGCCCAAGGAAAAAATGATTAAGCTTTTTGTCAAGACTTTGAAAGATCCCTACCATACTTTGTTGGTTGCACAACCGGTTAAGGACTTTCAGTGAAGTGGTGAAAGGGGCTGTTAGAATTGAAGAATCTCATAGGCATTGACAGATTAACCCACTGATGATTGGAATAGGGGCAACCACCTTTGAGTCAAAGAAGTCTAGAACCAAGCATCAAGGAGGGAGTGAAATTTAGTTCATATCTAGACACCCAGCTAGATTTGTAGCCACAAATCCATCTAATCCTTCTTTGAAGATGCCTGCTCCAATGCACCCACAATCACGTCAATAGCAGCACACCCCAACGGTACAACCAGTTTCCCAAACAGAAAAGGAGTTGACCCCACTTCCTTGTCTACACTCTTAGTTGTTACTTGCCTTGGTTAAAGATGGATATCTAGAGTTGCCTAAAGAGAGACATCCCCATTGCATAAACCAAAGCATTATGATGAGAAAGCCTATTGTGACTATCATAGAAGCCTGAGGCATACCACTGACAATTGCCATCAGCTCAAGATTGCAGTTTAGAAGCTAATTGATCAAGGTCTCATTGCATTTCCTAAGCCTCAAGAATCATCTTTGAACTAAGTTGTTCTCCCTTTTGTCAACATGTTGTGAGCATCGTCTTTGGTTAGTTTGGGTATCATCTGTGGTGTCAATCAAACTACATTAATTTGAATGTAATCTTTGAGATAGGGGGTCAATACTCTCTTTCCTATCTCTAATGCATTTTGAACTATGTCCGGCCTGATCCCTTTCAAAGGGGTCTGGCCACTTCCATAAATAAAGTATTATTTTCCCCGTTTCTCTCTCCCTTGCCTGAAATGCTTACTTATAAGAGAGTGATTAGTCCGTAGAAGAAGGCAAAGTTTGTCTCAGAGTCCCAAAGCATGCCCAATGAAAATTAATTGTTGATATAGAGCTCTATAGTTGAACTTCCTTTTGACTTCCTAACCCATAATAAAGCCATCATCTTCGTCCAAACTAGGGAAGAATTGTAGCCACCAAAGCATAGTACATTCCCTTTGAATAATGCCTAAGCCGGCACAGAACAAAGGCACCAACCTAACCTAGTTCCCTATCAATTAATAAAAGAAAGGACTGGAGGCTATCCTCGGTTGTTCCTCTTTCCTTAATGATCCATTGAATTCGCAAAAATTGCTAGTTAACTAGTTGAGCTTATGCATTAGACATTTTTTTAGCAAACTAGCCAAACCCACATATTTCACCTCAAGGATCACCAAAGGGCTAAAAAAGTAAAAAAAGAGAAAAAAAAAACAAAGAGAATGAAGGAGAATGCCTAAGGGAGCTTTGCTCAACATATACTATGCTTAGCATATGCTTCTTCAATATGTGATGTGTAGTCAATACTAAAATGAAGGGAGGCCATCATTGGCTGCTTGTTTGACCTTGTGCATTCAATCCTAGTAATGTGTAGTAAAATCCCCTAGTTGGCCCTTTGATCCTTCTTATCAGCATTTTCTTCACAACAAACACTTTCTAGCGATACTTAGGTAAAGTGGGGCAGTTATCAATGAAGGTTGATACAAAAGTGAATTGACAAATGGAAAGTCATGAAACAGTCAAAAGAAACTGGGGCAACTAAGATTGTTTCATCATTATGGGAGCTTTTATGATGACACCCACATGCTAGTTTTGATTTTCTTTACCCATTTACATTTTGTCCCAAAATAAAGTCCTACATGATCAATAAGAAGGCATGATTCATGTTGATAAAGAATATGAAGAGCAATCTCCACATGAATGGCCATGAATAAACCGTTGACAAAAAATAAAAAAAAAGAGAAAAAAAAGAAAAAGATAGAAGATGTAAATATGATGATGAAAATAGACCCTGAATTAAATCCGTGAAGTGGCAATTCGAGCATCTTATGCCTATATTAATTGTTATTTGGGCCTTTTCACATATCATTTGTAAGCTCTATTCCATACCATGTTTCATCCTAATGAAAAAGACCTCATCGATCTTTGAAAAATTGATAAATCAGCAATGGACAGACCTATTTGGCCGACAATGAAGGATCATAGTTGTCACTTTTTCCATTAAAGTATCAGCTCCATAGCTCACCATTCTTGTTAACCAAAAAAAAAAATGATGAGAGACGAAAAAAAAAACTAGGGCAGACCCCTGCAATAAAGGCTTTTCTTACAACGAATCCCTTGTTCAACAATTTGCAGTTCTATCGTGCGTGCTTTAGAATTCAATGAATTTTGAGTAATGACCTTGAAGAGAGGATACACACTCTCATCTAATGTGAACCATACACAATCCATTTGGACGTAATTTCTCTCATATGCGTTAAGGTTGAAGGTACTTTTGCCCTTGAGTCTTGAAGTCTTTCCTTCTTACCATTCCAATATTTCATGACCCTTGTGTAGTGCTCGATAATTGAATGCTTTCTTGAACCACAATGAGATATTTTGACCTTTTTAGTGCATACCCAACTTCTATCTTGGCTTTACCATCACATCATATCCTTTTGGCTTGCTTATATGTTGGTTATTCTAAGCTCTTTTGATCCATCCAAAACAGACCCTTCTGATCCATCCGAAACACCCCAAAACCCAAAAAACCGAATTTCATCCCAAGAGCCCTCAGATTCACCGTTAGACTTACCCGATACATATCCAATGGCCCTGATCGACCCCTGCTTACACCTCAACCACTAGATCAGATATAACCATCAGACCCAGGAACTCCCAAAACACCTACTCGTAGAATTTCAAATCAAGATTCCCTCGTTTACCCCTTCACCAAACAAAGATTCCATTTCAATCTTTCTCGCTAGCTTAAACACTTAAAACCCAGGATCACCTTGATCTTGACACAGACAAACCGATCAGACCATACCTTTAAACTCCAGACACATCAAAACACCTACCCATAAAGTTTTAGCCCTACATTCCCCCATTTTCTCATTTGTCAAATAAAGATTCCTTTTTAGCATCTCGTTGACCAAAATTCCTATGATCTTGATCCCCAAGACTAATCAAACATCACCATTAGATCCCAAGAACTTCCAAATACTCACCTGTAAAATTTCACCCAAAATTGCCTTAATTTGCCCCTCGATCACACCAAGATTCTATTCTAAGGCTCCAAATTGACCGGATTCCAAATCTGCCCGATCCAAGCTCAATTGACTCCATCTGACCTTACCAATCACCTTAAACTACCCAGAAATTCTACCCCGTGAAATTGCATCCAAAACAGACATTGTTTTCCCCTTGATTACTAAAGATTCCGTTTTGAGGCTTTAAATTAACCGAATCGAACCCTTTCCAGATCTGCTCAATCCGGGCCCATGCCAATCTGATCCCACCAATCAACCCAAAATGCCCGAAAACCTTAGTTTGCCAACTTTCAGCTGAAAATACCCTCATTTACCCTTTCATCTAAAAAGATTCCTCTTCGGCCAATCTCGCTGGCCCACTCTCACAAAACCCTTCTCAGTGGTCGGACTAATCTCAACCTTCCATTTTTTGACCTAAAACCATCCAATGTAGGACCAGAACCCCGATTCAACCCATTGGACCCGGCTTGACCAAGTTTTTCGAAAATTACTAAACTACCCCAATGTTCTCTAAAATTACAAAATTACTCCTGCCTCCCATCTAAATTCAATCTAATTTCCCTAATCCGAAAAATTCGAAGGGAGGCTTCTCTTCTTCCCCGTTCGAACGAAGACGCGCAGCGGCGGAAATAACCTCCCTCCGGCTTCTCCTCTTCTCTCCGATCTCCCTCTCTCTCCTCTCCTTTTCTTCTCCTTCTTTCTTCTTCTCCTTCCCCATCTTCGAAATCCCACTGTTACCCACTGTTCACTCTCCTCCTCCTTCGAGTCAAACCAGCAACAACTGATAGTGGCGGTAACTTTTCAATTCGATTGAAGCAGATCCAATATCCGATCACAGTCATTCATAGTTATCATCGTTGGGATTATTGTGCTCTGTTCAAGTCGCACTTCACTGCCGATCCCTCTAGTTCAATCTCGGTCCCCGTCGTTGTTTCTAGACTAGCTATCTGAAAGAGACGAAATCTTCCCTTTGCAGCTTTCGGGTTCAGGCCGAAATCCAACCAGGTAATTAAGCTCTCATAACGCCTCTTCTGTGTTTCATTTTTTTTTCTTTTCTTTCTCTGTTATCTCGTCTCATTTTCCTGTGTTTTGTGATGGCTTAATCGGAATCTGAGGAGGTTACCGGAGCTGGTGGTGAACCGTGAAATAGTCGCTGAACCAGCCTCTGTCGAATCCTCAATGCATACTTTTTTTTCTTGTTTTTCTTCATGTATTCACGAACTATCTCACCGTACCATCATTAGTGTTGGAACAAGTTGCGTCCATTTTTTTATTTCGTTGGCTAAAGCCTCAAATCACAAATTTACGAGACTGGAACAGTTGGTTAACTGAGGAGGTTATCAATCGTGAAAATACTATTAGAAGACCACGAAAATTTACGAGGCTGAAACAACTGATTAAGGTTGTTGTTGTATTCTGATTTCTGAACAACGAGGGAGCAGCATTAGTCTTTGGGGTCAAAAGCTTGCGATTTGCGAATGATCCAAAGAAAAGGACAACCTGACAGGACATGTGACCCTGAGGCAAGCAAGGGAGCCCAATCTGTCCAGAGCACGAAGACAGCAGATGATAAATCCCTTGTTATATATATTTCATTTCCATTTTTTTAAGGAAGACAAGATTAAGACGTCGTGGTGAAATAAAATACATTAGACTTCTCACGTAAGACTGTCTGTTATAAAGTGATACTCTTTGAATTGGAATATCTCCAGTCTCCTCTACTGTTACTGCATTCCTCGCAGTGGGGCTTCACTACGTTGTATCAATCTCGTGACCAAAATTCGAATCCAACGGTTCCAGACCAAGGAGGACAACTAGATGGTTCTTTCCTCTTCCTCTTTAAAAGAGGAACAAGATTACGTGGTCGTGGACCGTGTAATGTTGGCGGCCATGGGCATAAGTGAAGAAGCAGTAGTGGACGCATGGTTGGTTGGTTGGTTAATGAACCAGACGTGAATCTGGTATCCACGACGCTACAGGAAACCCTAAAAGCGGAATCTTTGAAAAACGTGTTTAGAATCCCTGGCCGACATTAAATAAAGGCGGAATCAACGCCAGTAGACTCTGACTGTCCTCTTGCTTTTCTTTGTTCACAGGCTTGCTGGCTCCTCTTGAGTCTGTGTGAGAGAGAGAGAGAGTAGCCGCCATGTGTGGAATCCTCGCCGTCCTCGGTTGTGTCGACAACTCCCATGCAAAACGTTCCCGAATAATCGAGCTCTCTCGAAGGTAATGATTTTTCAAATTTAGCTTAATTTAGATTGCATTTTGATAGATTTTTTTTTGGGTATTCGATGAGCATTGTTTGGGTATTCGGAATGATTAATGGACGAAACTGAAGCTGATAAGCCGCAATATTTTGGGTTGTTTGTGCCATTTTTCTTCTTTATATTTCATCCTTTCACGTTTCCATCTCCTCGTTAGGAATTTTTGATTTATAATCCTGAAGGTTGTCTCTAGACTCTATTTCTGCATGTTTCATAATTGACACTGTGTTTTACTCCCTCCCTCAAGGGGAAATTGAGTTAGTATTATGGGTCGGCCATGGCTATGGTTACAAATAAAACAAACCATCTTTGCTTGCTAGAGTGGGAAATTAAATGTTGGTGGTTTTCTTGATGGGTACCTCTCAAACATTTGTGCCGAAAAATGCGTTGGTGGATCGGACTCGACTTTCATGGTGTTAAATGAAAATCTGTGTTGGGAAGGATAAAACAATAAACTATATTCTCGTTGTAGAATTAAAATAATAATATTTTTTGATTTTTGGGATCCAAACTTATTGATAGTGGTTCCATTAATTTGATACAAAGAGGTTAAAGCAACTAACCCTTTTACCTTGGTTTTTGATGTATTGGTGATACAGGTTGCGGCACAGAGGTCCTGACTGGAGTGGCATACATTGTCATGAAGACTGCTATCTTGCTCACCAACGGTTGGCCATTGTTGATCCTACTTCTGGAGATCAACCACTTTATAATGAAGACAAGACGATCATTGTTACGGTATTGCTTTTGCTCCTAATTATACTATGGGTACTATCTATGTTAATGAGGCCCTCTGTTTTATTATTTTACTAACTAGGCTTATATGGGTAGTTCAGAAATGTTCCATGAGTGACAATTGATAAATGTTGTCATGATCCTACCAACAGAAACATAATCTTAAGTAATAAAAGGAAAGAGGTTTTGGTCAAAATGTTTTGTACTAACATATCAGTCAGTGCTCAGCCATTTTTCCAAAATCTGAACTCTTTGTATAATTCAAAAAGTTGGCTACTTTGGTTGATATGGATCAAATGAAATTCGACACTAATGTATCCAAATTTGCCAAACCCTTGCTTCTCTTCTCTCTCTAAGGAGATAAGGAAAAATTGACCATCTTATATAAGTGATTAAGATCAAAACCTTGCTCTCTCATTCCCTTATCCCTCTCTGTTGTGTGTGACGTGCAATAGAACACATGGATACATAAGTACACACAGACAAGGGGGAAGGGATGCATATCTAGTATACAAGCTTGAATCCATGCGTAATGGTTATAAAATAATCCTATCGATTGGAAAGAGGAAGGACCAACATCGCAATGTATTTGATCTCCTCAAGTGCTTTTGTAACTGATTACTGATTCCTGGTATGAGGGCTGGATCTGTACATAGGGGCTGTAAATTACATTCTCTACCCATCAAAAGGAGGAAAAAAACAAGCAGCTCATGATCACAGAGTGAAAGACACACATATGTGCATCTATTAGTTTTAAAGAGACTTGCATATCTAACCCCCTCAAATTTTTTGAAACACCTAAAAATGTCCTTGTGCTCTCTCTTTCTCTCCTCTTCCTCCTCTGGTTATGCAGCCACCAATTTGCTTTCTAAAGTTTGGCTATTTCTCTCCTTCTAACTTTTCAACAAATAGTATGATGAATAATTTTTCACAAATTTCTGTATCATGCTAAGACTCGTATGGAGGAAAAGAATGAGCTATTTTCCTTGAAATTTAGTCTGTTTGTTTCAAGGAATTATATAGTGTTAGAGAAAGCGTGTGATAGAGAGCCTAAAGATAATATGGTGGGTTATGGAAAAAGAAAGGAGTGCTAATTAAGTTATCATCACATAAGCTTTGTCTCAGCTATATGGGGTCAGCTACATGAATCCTGCTTCGCCAAATATGTGTGTGGACCTAATTAAGGATATGTATGAGGGTAGTACAACCAATGTTAAAATATCCATAAGAGAGACATTACCTTTTTTTTATCAATAACTTTGAAACTTTTATTGATTGAAATACTTTAGGATACAACAATAAGTTACAAAAGAAATCAGCATAGTAAGCTGATCCAGTACAGAATTACAAGTGTGCCCAAAACATATCTGTTCTGTGAACCCCTTGCTTTGCTAAGCTATCTGCCAAACTGTTGGCAGATCTCCTTACCCATCCCACCTGAATTGACAAGTTCCTTGAAATCCATTTAAATCTTCTGAATTCATTCTTCAACTGCCATGTCACCCCTTCCCCTTTCTGCAACCATTTTATCACAGTTTTTGAATCTCTCTCGATGATCAATCTATTGATCCCCAACTCTTTAGCCTTCTCAACCCCATATATTGCAGCTAGAAACTTTGCCCTTGTCACATCACCTACCTCCACAGGACCAGAGTAAAGGGCAATGATGGAACCATTTTCGTCTCTAATGCCCCCCTCCCAATACCTGAAGGGCCTGGGTTACTCACACAACTCCCATCAAAATTTAGCTTCTTCCAACCCTCTGTTGGAGGGGACCAAGTCTCAACAAACTGTCGTCTCATAGATGATGAAGCAGCAATGAGTCCCTGAACCCTGAAAAAATCTTCAACCTTGAAAGCTGAAAACAACTTCAAACTTTTTACCCAATGAGCCACCCTCAATGTTATTGTTTTAACTAAAGCTTCCTTGCATTTTTCTTTACTTTCGAAAATCCTATCGTTTCTTTCCTCCCAGATGGTCCAAAGTATTGCTGCTCTAGTGCATCTCCAAAGAATCCTTCCCCTCCTTGTCATACCACTGATACCATTATGGTTGAATAAGCCTTCCACCCTGTCATGAGAGGACCACTTGCACCCCAAAAGGGAAGTAAACCAATTCCAAATAAAACTGACAAAAGGGCAAGATATAAGAAGGTGGAAAACAGTCTCATCATTCAATTTACACAGGACACACCAGTTAGGGGACAAGCACCAGTTTAGTCTTTTCCTTTAAAGTACATCAAAGGTGTTAATACAACCATGAGAAACTTCCCAACAAAAAGCACTGGCTTTAGGGGGGATAGGAGGGCACCAAATTTCTTTGACTGGAAAATGAGAAGAAGATTGTGTTGCAACCATCGAATGTAGAAAGGAGTTACAAGAAAAGGGCCCTTCAACATTAGGACCCCAAATTCTAGAATCTGACCCACCTTCCCCCAAACAAACTGAACTCAACAATCCTAACAGCTCAGACACTGCAAGAAGTTCAGACTCTCTAAGGTTCCTGTTAAATCCAAAGTTCCAATTTAACCTTGGAAGGTGAGATGATTGACTTAGGAACTCAGAAATGGGCTTACTAAACCTGGACAGGTCATAAAGAGAAGGAAATTTCTCACCCAAAGGAATATCCCCGATCCACACATCTTCCCAAAATCTGATTTTGCTACTAGTAGACAAGTCATACTTGATAAAATTTAGGAATGTAGGGAGAATATCATGGATGGCCTTCTAGGGAGCAGCCAAGTTAGCGCTACGGAGACATCTAGCATCCCATCCGTTGCTCGACATGCCATGAATGCTTGCAACCACTATGTGCCATAATTTCTCATTTGCTTTTGGAAACCTCCAAAGCCATTTGCTAAGCAAAGCCTAATTCTTGAGTCTAACATTCCTTATTCCCAAACCCCCTTCCTCTTTCAATTTCTTCACCTTTTCCCATCTAACCAAATGATCCTTCTTCTTTTCCCCCGTCTCCTAGAGAAAATTCTTCATGATTTTTTCAATTTTCCTCACTATCCCTTGTGGCATCCTAAACACTGACATGTAGTACACTGGGAGATTTGCTAAAGTGGATTTAATTAGGGTTATTCTCCCCCCCCCCCCTAATGAGATATAGTTCCTTTTCCATGCCACCAACCGTTTCTTAATTCTTTCCACTATCGGAGACCAAAAGCTAGCAGATCTAGGGTTATCTCCAAGGGGTAAACCCAAATATTTCATTGGCCACTCACCTTTCTCGCAGCCTAGGGAATTCCAACCAATAAACTCTTTGACCAATTAATCCTCAAATTAGACATCCTCTCAAAGAGTTTTACAACCAACCTCAGATTTTCCACTCCCTCCCTATTTTCTCCATCACAAAAAATAAGAATATCGTCTGCAAACTGTAAATGAGTGACTAGCACATTGTCCCTCCCAACTGACCATCCCCTAAATAATTGCACACCATTTGCTTTTGAACCTTGGTACCATGGTGCTTGTTGTTTGTTGGTAGTATTAGTTGATGAAACTAATAAAAAGGCAGCCTAGTGCACGAGGCCCTCGCCAATGCGGGGTCTGGGGAGGGACAAATGTACACAGCCTTACCCCTGCACATACAGTTAGGCTGTTTTCAAGATTTTTTTATATAGAAAACATAGATCCTAAGGTACTTCCCTAGGTACCATAGCCATATTTCCTTAATAATTATTCATAAGAAAAGTATAGAGTTCATGTTAAAGTATAGAAAATCAACATATTCATGAGAAGAAAAAAAAGAAGGAAAAGAAAATTCAAAAAATATAGGGGCTGAACCCTTATTTTTGTTATAGGAAAAGAATAAAAGAAAAATTAGTAGTAGTAGTAGTAGTAAATGTGTTGATTAGACAAAATTTTAAGTTCTTCCTTACTTATTGGTTCAGGTTTTAAAGTCTTTGAGGGTCCAATACAGCATTTAGCAATTTTTGTATTGACTAAATCCTAACAAATAAGAAAATAATAAAAACAAATTAGTACATAAACACAAAAAATGAATATTTTAGTTTAATAGTGCCTATTTTATAATTATAATGTCAAAAAAATAAAGAATAAAAAAAATAATTTACAATACGTAGTACAAAACTGCTTGGCGATTAGGCAAGGCGAGCCTCAAAGGGCGCCTTGTCACCTAGGCGTCGCCTTGACAACTATGTTTGTGCCTACTCTCCAACCCCTTATCACATCTGCCCTATCAGCCCTAGTGATAATTCGACTAAACACATCAGCTACCAAGGTAAAAAGGAAGGGTGAAAGTGGGTCCCCTTGTCTGATACCCCTACTAGCTGGAAAAAAGTCCCTCACCATCCCGTTTACTAGGATGGAATAGTGAGAAGAGCTAACACAACCAGTCATCCAACTACACCATCTTTCCCCAAACCCACACTTCCTCAAAACCTCTAGTAGGAACTGCCAGTCCACCAAGTCATAGGCTTTCTCCAGATCAAGCTTACAAACAAAGCCTCTCTGCTTGGACCTCTTCTTCTCATCTCCCAATATGTTATTTATTGATGGTTGTTTATCTTGTAATGAGTTTTATTTGTTAAATTTTATTGATATACGAGTCTTTTTTTTATTATATTATGATCTTTTTGTCAATTATTATATGGTAAAAAGTGTCATTGTATAAATCATTGATTTTTAGCTTATTGTCTTGGTTCTGGACTAACTTTTTCCTCTTAGGTTAATGGTGAGATCTATAATCATGAAGAATTGAGAGGAAAGCTAAAATCTCATCAGTTTCGAACAGGAAGTGACTGTGAAGTGATTGCCCATCTTGTATGTAAATTAAGATTCTTTTTTACCCAGTAACCTTAGTGGCTTTGAAACAAATGTTTTGCCTGTGTACTTGTCCCTGATATTAGTTTGTTGTTGTTTCCCATTGTTCTCTACAAAATTTCGAAGTTTATTTTATTTTTAAGCAACTGATCTGTTTATCCATTTTTGTTGTTATACATAACAGTATGAAGAGTATGGAGAGGATTTTGTGGACATGCTGGATGGTATGTTCTCCTTTGTCCTGCTTGATACCCGAGACAAAAGTTTCATTGCTGCTCGAGATCCTATTGGTATTACCCCTTTATACATGGGGTGGGGTCTTGATGGTATGTCATATAACTTGTTCTACACTTCTCTCTCTTTCTCTCCTCTCCTACTTTCTGGTTATAGAGGCTCTTTAGGAATATAGAACCATTGGACCAGTGTTTTCAAAGAGTCAACTAGTCAATTGATTAGTCTATTGAAGGCAACCCTAGTTGGTGTCTCGTAATAGGTCTCATAGGATAACTAAACATTGACTAGTTGATAAATGACTAATCAACCTAGTCAACCACAACGTTATTTTAAAGCACTATTTGTTTGTATTTTAATTATTTGAAATAGTATTGAGTATGTATTTTGTTATATTTATTCTGTTGCCTTAAATATTGATGGAACATGATTGGTTAATGGTATATAAAATAGAATAGGTATTTGTTCTTTTAATTATTTCCAATCGGTAGTGTGCTGGTACAGAGTTGCCACAAAAAAAGAGCGCATTGAATAGCCAAGGTTGCACATTTTTTTGTTAAAACAAAATCTATAATTCGCTGTCCTAGTTATCTAGCCCAACTCTTTTATGTTTGCAGAACAAATGCTAAACTAAATGTCCAATATAATTCTTTTAGTGCATGGTTACAGTCTATATTAACTTATTTATATGAGCTTGTATCAATATATATTTTCAAACAAAGAGATTGCATGAATATTTTTAAATTTGGACAAAATGACTAGTCATCACCTTACTTATCTGATAACACTGGCACTGGATTGAGCAGCCACTATATATATATATATATATGAAGTCAATGAGTAGATTTCACTGTATTCCATACCACAGAAGGCAGTTGCACACTTGCATGCTTATGATTGTCATTTCATGTTGCATCACTTATTTCATTGAGTTACCTAGATCATTTTCTGTTGTAGCTCCTCTTAGGTGAGTAGCATCGTTTGTGGATGTAGGCAGATTTAAGCACAAAAATTGGGCTTAAGACAATCTACAAGTCCAAGACAAACTGGAAATGTCGTAGTCCAACCCAACTTGTTGACAGCTCATAGTATTGAAAGTAGATACACATAGATGTGTACAATACAATCTTAGCAGAGATGGGAAATATAGAGTTCTTTATTTACAATCTGTTACAATTGTCTTTCTTAATGAGAAAAAGAAGTAAAGAAGTAAAGAATAATTTAGGATTCAGCTAAGGCCTTTTTTTGGGTGGGACATGTGGTTTATTGTATTTTTTGATGAATAACATGTGGTTTATTGTTAGGTCCGGATTAAGAGTAATGGTCTAGAGAATGTAAACCTATTTTTATGAAGTTGGTTTCCATGTTTAACTTGGAAACTGAATTGTTCCATATACCATCTTGGTAATGTTACTTGATGCAAACAGAAATCTAAAGAAAGGGGAATTTGCCTACTTAAATTATATTTCATTGGAGAGAAGATTTCTTTTTTATTGAAGGGCAAATAAAGTCAAGAAAAGTCTTAAATGTTGGTAGTCAAGTAATTGGGATTTAAATGGTTCATACTTTTAATAGTAGAATAGATAAACGCTAGTTCTAATCTTTTGCAAATTTACATATGTAAAGGGATTTGATATTTGCACTTAATTGAAGCTGCTATCTTCTCCAGGATCAATTTGGTTTGCATCAGAAATGAAAGCTTTGAGTGATGATTGTGAACGTTTCATGTCCTTCCTTCCTGGCCATATATATTCTAGCAAGTGTGGTATGTATTTTGTAAAGCTAGTGTCATACTTATTTATGCTGTCAAATTAAGAACTCATTAAAAATTGATTGTGGTCTTATTAAATTGAAATTGATGTCACCTGAGTTAAAATTGTTTTATCCCTCTTAAATCTTTTCTTTTTTAATATTTTAAGGGAAATTCTTATCCAAAAACTTCTGCAAATTGTTTTCAAGTCTCTGCGTTGCAAAATTAAGAATAAGTGGAGACTAACTAGTTTTCTTTAAATAGAGGAATTGGATTTGTCTTAAAAAAATTAATTCCTTTAAGATGTGATCCTCTCTTTTAAATAAGTAGGACATGCATACTTTCTTTTAAGAAGTAATTATTATCTTAATTCAGAATGCTGAAAACTTTGCATTCCTTTTGCTTTGTTTTTATCATTCTCTAAAATGTTGGATTTTATTTTTCAAGATTCTACACTTTGGTTCATTATTCATGGTGATACAAAAAAAATTATTAAAGATTTTTTCTGATGTACAAAAAACAGTATGATTTTTTTTTTCTTATTTTCTTTTTATTTCTTTTTCTGATATTGCAAAGAGAATAAATATATTCTTCGTTGAGTTTTTAGTTTAACCTTATGCAGGTGCACTTAGAAGATGGTACAACCCACCATGGTACTCAGAGAACATACCATCGGCTCCTTATGATCCATTAGTATTACGTGAAGCCTTTGAGAAGGCATGCGCCAATCTTTGATGTATTTTCTAATTTCTGTTTTGTTTTTTGGTGAATGAGTATCCATATAATGGGTGCTAAAGTCTCTCTCTCTCTCTCTCTCTCTCTCTCTCCCCCTGCTCCATTAACCACCAGCCCCTAAAAAGAAAAAGAAAAAAAGTTATTTGGCTATATATATATATATATATCAAACTCAACATGAAGCATATGTGTGGAGATATTTAATGAGTAAATTGTAATGGCTGCTATATGCTCTTGAAGTTCTTGAAAGCGTGACCTTCCATTCCAATGAAATTACTGCATTTTTACTTAAATGATGAATGGAAACCTGAAAAATGTTAACTTTTTATTTAAATGTTGAGAATATTATCTTAAACCTAGTATTCCCCCCTTTCTTGTTTTGCCATTTTGGTGTTCAATAACAGAAATTTATGTACAAGGGAAGAAACAACCTTGAACTACACTAGCTTGTTAATCCACTGTCATGTTGCCAATTTAGTGAGAGTTTGCCCTAGATGTCCCTGTGGAGCTGCCGTCCCTCAATTTTGTTTCATGATATTTAAGAATCTGGATGGGTCTTTATAGTTTTCTAAAGCCCAAGGATTCACATCACTCAAGTTATCCTCTGCCGTGGGAACTTTCATATGTGAAGATCTTACTTTGGGATTTTTTTGTGATATGATATTGGGAGTAATAGATGTAAGGGGCATATAGGTTATTTCTCTTTTTTTTTTATGTTTGGATTAAGAGGATACACAAAACTTGATCTTGATGAGGGTTCATGGACTCAATAATATTTAGCTTAGAAAGTCTGATATGTCATAAGCAGATTATATCATGAATTTATTGAATCTGAGTTGGACCTTGGGGGTTTCAATTTAATTGGATTGTAGTCTGGCTCTTGAGTCAGTCTTGACACGGAAGAATTTAGGGACTTTGTAAATGTGTATCCATTGTTTGATTTGCCTGTTTCTGGATTAGTATTATGTTGGTAAATCAAAGGGAGGATTGTGTTGCCTATTTCAGCGATCACCCTTGGATATCTGTGAACAAGCTTATTCTCTTGGATATCTGTAACTCCTGAGTTTAATCATCGGAATGTGTTTCAGATGCTTTATTCTCAGTCTGTGTGGAATTTGAAACCTGTTTTTCTCTCTGGTGAGGTGCACCAGGAAGATGTTGCGATCTTTTTCTTCTATCATCAATAAAATTCTTACCTTACTTTTCAAAAAAAAAGAAATTCCAGTGATCGCTCTTATGCTTCTTACTACTATTTTGCTCTTAATTCTTGCAGGCTGTAGTTAAGAGACTTATGACAGATGTACCATTTGGTGTACTTCTATCTGGAGGACTTGACTCATCACTTGTTGCTGCTGTTGCTTCACGTCACTTGGCAGAAGTAAAATCTGCCAGACAGTGGGGATCAAAGTTGCATACCTTCTGCATCGGTCTGAAGGTTATTATATTTCCTGGTGGTTCTTCCATTATATTTCGTTTTTTCTTTAGGAAGTGTTTTAAATCATTTGTTTTTGGTTTGAATTGGTAACAGTATTGCGAATTAGAAATAATGCAAACAATTCTAAGAGAATTGTCCTCGTTTTTATCAAATTTTCTATTGTCTGAACTATGAGGCAAGTTTACTTTAACATGTAGTAGGGAAAAATTTCATAGTATATTGCTCTAATATCTTCACTAACAGTGGTTTATGATGTTTCAAGGGTTCACACTAAAATCATTTGATAAGAAACATTGCTCAATGGATGACTGACAAAACTATAAAGGATAAAATTATAAATGAATTGTCTCAATGGACCATGGTTTTGTGTGCTTAAGCCTTCACAATTGTATCTGCATATTTGCTGATAGTATATACTTTATCCTTCTGGTGTCTGCACCTTGACTCTGGTTGATGCTTATTACCTCCTTTCCTTACTTCCCTGTACATGCTTTTTCAGGGATCTCCAGATCTTAAAGCTGCTAGAGAGGTTGCTGATTATCTGGGTACTCTTCACCATGAGTTGCACTTCACAGTTCAGGTAATGTTTTTCTTTTCTATAGGGCAAATAGGAAGAGCAGCAATTAAGTTTTATCCATCATATTACAGGAATAGTAAATGTGTTTCTTTCTATACTATATCAGGAGGGCATAGATGCAATCGAGGAAGTCATTTACCACATTGAAACATATGATGTGACTACTGTCAGAGCTAGCACTCCAATGTTTCTCATGTCTCGAAAAATTAAATCTTTGGGAGTAAAGATGGTTCTTTCTGGGGAAGGTTCAGATGAAATTTTTGGTGGCTACTTGTATTTTCATAAGGCACCTAACAAGGAGGAGTTCCATCAGGAAACATGTAGAAAGGTAATGTATGTCAAGGAATGTCTATTTTCCTTGTCCTATATTGCACAGGACTGTTTTTTTCCCCTTGGTTGAAGAACTTTCAGTGTTGTATATGTTGTTTCAGAATAACTATTTCCTTTAATGTAAAAGATTTGCTGTCTATCTAATGTATAGTATAGTCAGGTTTCCGTTTTATGTTATTTTGCAAATTGATTTGTAGGGTGTGGTCCCTCTATATTTTGTCAGATTAAAGCTCTTCATCTCTATGATTGCCTAAGGGCGAACAAGTCAACTTCAGCATGGGGAGTAGAGGCTCGTGTGCCCTTCCTGGACAAAGAATTCATCAATGTTGCTATGAACATTGATCCAGAGTGGAAAATGGTAAAACAAGAACTCCTGAATTCCTGGTTTTACATGATTTTGACCTTTTTGAGATTGAAAGCCATATTGTGACTTCAACTTCTTTATCCTTTGATTGTAGCCCATTAGTTTTCTTCTTTTATATACATCGAGACCAATTTCTCATCATATGAAAGTTTAATTATTAGTGTGTAGAAAAAAATGTCACACACAATGTTTCCCATTATCATATGTTAAAGTGCACAAATTTAGGCATTACTTATATTAAAAGAATGACATCCCCAACTAGTGAGTTTTCTAACTTTTTTGCTTTTATAAGTAAAGGTAAATGAGTATGTATTATATACCAAAGTAGTCTGCATGCTAGGATTATACTGATGCATAAAATATGGACAAGCAGCTCCATCTACCGCAAGAAAACTATGCTATCACTATACAAAAAAGTGCTTCCTACCTCGGAATTAGAAGTGCCATCTTCTGAACCCAGCTTCCTAGGAATCCATGTTATTTGATGTCATGTTAGCTAATATCTCATGAATCTCATCAAGGAGGTGAAAAAATTCCATTTTCCAGTTCCCATGCTGTCACTTTGTTATTGTATCGGCTAGGTCTCCTTCAATTATCAATGACAAATTGAAGATGGATGAGTTTGTTTGGAAATTCAAGCGCTCAATGGAAGTGCCATTGCTTCTGCTTCTACTGAGTCGGTTTCCTACATAGGACCATTAAAAAAAGCCATCATTCTGGCTTAAGGTTCCTTCACCTCACCTGGCCCTTGGTTTCTGTTAGAAATGATAACAAATTGAATTATCATGTACCCGTGCATGTGGTAAGGAATGGTTCCTCTCTTGGAAGGGCAGAAATTCCACTCCATAAAGGCAAAATCTTATTGCTGTTCTGTATATTAGTTAGTATTGATCCCTTATATTGATTCTCAATAAAGAAAGATCTTATTGTTATTCTATATGTAGAGATCCTTATCACCAGGGTACCCAAACCCAATTAACACTAGTTTTGTATATTGCTAACCATGTAAGTTGGCATCAAGGATTAGTATGTCCAGATCTCCTTGGCTTACTGGTAGAAGGTGCGAGTCGGGTACCCGATTTGAAGCATTTACACTGCTTTGGGCCTGGGCTATTGAGCTGCGCCCATTCAAATTATAACAATACCCCAACCTGAGTTTACCGAAGTTGCATCCCTGGTTACTAAAAAACAAATATACCAGGCATACAAGGTAAACCTCTGACACAAACAAAACAAAAACAACCTCTTCACTCCAAGGTGTTCCACTCATTCACCCGACCTCACAACTCTCTCTAGGTGCAGAGAGCTCTCGTAGCTTCAATCTCCCATGATCTGCTGGGAGAAACTATCTTCAACCTTAAGTGAGTTACAATTTTCTTCCTTTTCAGCAAATCGCTACCAAAGTGCTTTGGCATCTTGTGGGGTATCCACATAGCAAATGGAAAAAATACATAGTTATAAAGGACCCTAGATGAGTTACCTACGGACTTATGCATGATTAAATGGAGACAAGACAGGAACCTCTGCATTGAGGATTCTGTAGGCAATATTTCGCCTGTGATCATCTGCAATTAGGGGTGTAATAGAGTTGAGTCGAGTTGAGTTTTGTATGACTTGAGCTCGATCTCAACTCAAAAACTTGGAGCTTGAAACTCGACTCGAGTTGATAGTCATGGGCTACTTGAGCTTGACTCGGCTCGAGCCAATTATAAATAAATTTCTATTAAAAACTATAAATAAATTAATATTTAAAACATTTAAAATAAAATATATTAGAAAACTTGATTATATATTAAACATTATAAATAAATCAATACTATGAAACATTAAAAATAAAAATATATTATGAAACTTGATTATAAATTTATTTATTTATATTATATAAATTAATATAAAAAATAATATTTAGTTATATTATAAAAATTAATATAAAAATATATTATGAAACTCGATTAGGCTCGTGAGCTACTCTACCCGGGTATTACGAAGCTCAAGCTTGGCTCGAGTCAAGCTCAACTTGACTTGATAATCTTCGAGCCAAGTTCGAGTATTTAACGAGCCAAGCCTGAGTCGCTCGCAACTTAGCTTGGCTTGCTTACACCACTATCTGCAATAGCCAACCAATTCCAAATGTATACAAGATAAATGGTCAAGTCTGATGTAAATGAGACTTTTGAGTCAAATGAGAATTTTTTTTGGGATGCGTTAGTTCTGTAGCATTTTCCTATTAGAGCACTGTCCACTGAAAATTTCACTATGAGTGATGTGTTTTGGCAGGATAATAAAAGGGTTCTAACTTACCTAATATATATTAAAAGCAAGAATTTTCAGCAACATGTTCTGCTATTATTTCTTTCAGTTTGTAGACCATTTTCTAGTGCTTCTTTTTAATCAATAACAATGGTTAACAACTTTGTTAATAAGTTTAAACCTTGCTCATACAAAGCAATAGCATGGCCTGAAATAGATTTAATGATGTCAGTACAAACAAAAACTGACATCTCAAGAAAGTATAAGTGAGGTTGCCCCTACTAATTAATATCCCCTAGACACACACACCCAAAAATCTCAATCTTTAGTCTTCTGACCCCAAACCTTACGGGGGAGTCTACTAAAGCCTTGACCGAACTTGGGTCAGATCTGAACAACTAGTTTACGCTTTTAATGCTTGTAGTACTACATGGTTGATTGAAATTGGAGGTTTATTTCTGTGTTACATTGTTGAGAAAATCAATGAATTTATAGAATCAATAATCTAATAGCTGACATGCTTATCAAACAATTACAGGTGAGACCTGATCTTTGTCGTATTGAGAAGTGGATCTTACGCAATGCATTTGATGATGATAAGAACCCATATTTGCCAAAGGTGTGTAGCTTCATTGTTTTCTTTACCAAGCTTTCACCTTTCTAGAGTTTTTACAAATGATTTTTGTCCGCTTGGTTTCAGCACATTCTGTACAGGCAAAAGGAACAGTTTAGTGATGGAGTTGGGTACAGCTGGATTGATGGCCTGAAAGACCATGCAAATGAACATGTATTTTACACCCTTGACTCCTGAAATTGTTGATAAGGATCGAGTTATCATTACTTATCATCTTTCACTGTTCTAGCCTCAGGCTCATTGAATAGTATTAGTATCCTGTAGTTGTCATCAACTACTTACACTCTGGTTTTGCTTTTATCATGGTCAGGTTTCAGATGCAATGTTAATGAATGCAAGCTTTATTTATCCAGAGAATACTCCTACGACAAAGGAGGCATACTATTATAGAACAATCTTTGAGAGGTTCTTTCCTAAGGTAATAAAACTGCTTCGGCTGTTTTTGTTTTATTGTTATTTTTTCATCAGAAATAGTGAAAGTATTGAAGTGTAAGTTTGAAAAATGTAACTAGATAGTCTCAATTCAATACTAAAAATAGTCTTGGAGATCAGAAAAATCCATGATCAGGTTTTGTATACAAAATCTCAACTTAACTCAAATAAGCCTTGTTCTGTGTGGTCACATTAATGCTGTTCTACCATTCCACTCTATTCAGTGGCATATCCACTGTTAACTTGTGCTCCTCAAATCATTTCTCACTACCTACCCAAGTCATTTTGGCCTGCCCCTAGATCTTCTAGTCCTTTCAAGTTTCAACTTGCAGCAGATTGCTTCTTCTTCTTCATTTTTTTTTGATCAGCTAGCAGATTGCTTCTTTTCACTGGTGCTATGATGGTCTTTGCGTTTTTTGTTTTTTGGATGGGTATGGTCTTCTCTGCATGTTACCAAATCATCCTAGTCTACTTTCCTTCATTTTATCACCCATTGGGGTTACTCCTGGGTTCCTAAGAATATATTCGTTTCTGATCTTATTCTTGTTTTCCCATCCATCCATTTCCACATTCATAGTTTTCCTGACTCATTTTTGTTCTTTGACTTCTCAACAGTCTTCTCCATAATACATTGCTGGTTTTATGACTATAACATAATTTTCCTTTAGCCTAAGTGGTATTCTCCTATCACATAGGGCTCTAGATGTACCCCTCCATTTTGCTCATCTTGCTCTAATTTTTAGGTGGAATCAAATCTAGATCCTTTTGGAATCTTGTGCTGGGTATATTTGCAAAGAAATTGTCAATTTGGAGGAAATATTACATATTGTTGGAGGTCACCTTGATCAGATCTACATAGGATGATATGCCTACATTAGTGTTCAAAATCTTTATGGCAATTTTGCTAAAATCATAGGATGTGCTGGGAAATGGTGAGTAGAAGTAAGAGGTTTGGAGGCTTAGGTCTAGGAAATTTGCACAAGAGGAGTTAGGGGTGTTCACGGGTCGGGTTGGGTCAGTTTCTTGGGATTTTCCCAACCGACCCGACCTGGTCGGGTTAGCTAAGGTGGGAACCGAAACCGACCCACTGACAGGCCAAACCGACCTGGTCGGTTTGAGTCGGGTTGGGTCGGTTTGGGTTGGTTTCGGTTTTGCTCCTGTACAAAGCCAAATAAAATCTGAATTAGTTGATAATTTGATATTCAAGAGTCCAAGATAAATCTAAATTTAATTCAGGTAAAGAATAAAATCAATAAATTCTTCATGTAAAAACAAGTGTCAATAATGGGGCTTCTAGAGTAAAAAACTAGGTAAATCAATAAAATAAAAATTTAGAAATCTTCTAAATTCTAATCTAGGTAAAAAACTAAAAAATGACACCTAATTGAATTCTAATTGTAATTGCCTAATGGGCCTTCTAGAGTTATAGTTCTAGTAGAAGTCTAAAAGTAGAAGACTAGTAGGAATTAGGAAACTACTCAAACTAGTAGAATACTAGTTCGGTTCGGGTCGGGTTGGGCATTCTTATGAACAGCCCTAAGAGGAGTGAGGCTTTATTAGGAAAGTGGCTTTGGAGACTACCAGAAGAGAATGTTAAGCTTTGGGCTAAAATGGTGGTAGGGATACATGGGCTTGCAGCTGATGGTTGGGATGCTGGATTGCTGACTGCAGCTACCAGAGCTTCCCCTTGGAAGGCCATCCATTCTATCCTCCTGTCCTTTTCCCTTTTGCCAGGTATGACCTATGTTCTGGAAATGCCATATAATTTTGGGAACAGGTGTGGGTGGGTAACCTTTGCTAGCCATATAATTTGTCTACTCGAAACCTCTGCCACAAAGGTGAATAAGGATGGAGATAATGGGTCACCCTGTCTTAGTCCTCTTTTAGCCTGGAAGAAATCCTTCGCTACCCCATTCATCAGAATAGAAAAATGTGCTGAGCTAATACATTCTTTAATCCACATCCTCCATCTTTCACCTAGCCCCATCTTTTCCATTAAATTCAACAGGAAGGACCAATCCACTGTAACATAAGCTTTTTCAAGGTTCAATTTACAAATCAAGCCTTTGCCACCTTGTTTTCTCTTAGCTGCCAATTTTTCAAGGTCCAATTTACAAATCAAGCTTGTCTATTGCAGAACCCCATGCCCAACTATATTGAGCATGCAAGAATAACCTTGCCATTATTGTCTCTAAATACTTCAACCCCTGATGGTCCAAGCCTACCTAATAAACACCCATCAAATTTTAACTTGATTGGAGATCATGGTATGGGGGGCCAAGGAAATGATGTTTTTGCTATGCAAGGAATGACGATACTGCACTTTCTGATGATTGAGTCTACCCTAATAATCATCAAGATTTCTAGACATTCCTGATTAACAACCCTAATGGTCTGCTTTAATTTTAATCAGCTTGACCACTGCCTATTGGAGTCTCTCCTTGTTTGGAATTTTTGTAGCTTACCTTTTTTCAAAATTCCATGCGGAGAATGCATCTCTTTAAGGTTTAAACCTTGCACTTAGCGCTGAAGGTTATAATACCAACCTCACTGTTCCCATCCAAAAAACCCCCAGAATGTCCTCTAGATCCTGATGAATCAGGAAACGAATACTGGAAATATTTGGCAACTGTTTCCATATTTGAGGTACAAAACTACAGTGGATAAGATGATTCATTGTCTTCATTTCAGCCAGGCACAAGGCAAACATCATTTGCCACTTCTCAGCTGTCTCATCTCATGTGTTATGATGTGCTACTTCCAGTACGAAGCATGCGTCTCAGGTGGGGAACATTCCACAATAGTTTATATGGGAATTAGATAAGATAAAAATTCATGTCACAGAACAGTTTAGTGAAAGAAAAGGGAAGAAATACCTTGAGCTTTTAAGGCCCAAATAACTTTTTTTTGTTATTGTTACTAAGCTTGCTTCTTGTTTTGTTGTAAATTGCTGAAATTCCATTTAGCTTTGGTAAAGACATTATTGTTGTTGTTACTGTCAAACTATTGCCACTCGTTCTGTTATTGAATTTCCTACATAAAATGATCGTTTTGACAGAATGCTGCGAGATCAACTGTCCCTGGAGGCCCCAGTGTGGCATGCAGTACTGCCAAAGCGGTGGAATGGGATGCTGCATGGTCTAAAAATCCTGATCCCTCTGGACGAGCTGCTCTTGGTGTTCATGCAGCTGCTTATGACGAAAAAGTTGCTTCACTTCCAGCAGTGAACAATTCCAGCTCACCGAATGGTCTACCTCAGAAGAAACTGCAGGAAGGCATTGTTGAGGCAACTGCAACTTCTGTTTAATATCAGGATTCTATGTATTTTCAGATTAAGCTTGGGAAAGGTATCTATTTCACTGCGGTTAGGGTTCTTTGTTGACTAATTTTGGCTTACCATCTTCAGGAATGCCAAATTTGTACATTTTCTATTAGGATGGATGCAAAGAAAAACTCTTTTCAACCTCTATTAGCTAAACATGGTAAAAAGTACATGAGAATGGCCACCCATTAGAGGTGCAAGCTAGTGCCTAACAATTGAGCGATTAGTTATGGGGTATAGGACCTCAAACACAGAGGGTTGGCAAGATTCGCCAAGGCTAAAAGCTGGACAGTATATCCCTCTCCTTATTCCGTAATAACATCATAGGATCAAGAAAATGTTTCCAATGCTGGTTTTTGTGAGCCGAAATACCATTCTTTTGCTGCTCAACCACAGCCAGTGCAGAGTGGTATCACGCATTTTGAAAACCAATAGAAAGTATCAAAATATGATTAAAAGTTAAAACAAAGGGTAAAATAGAAAAATCACCCTGAAGTTCTGTCCATCATTATAACTTCCCATGAGGTTTCGCTTTAACAAAAAGTCAAAAACATGTAGTTGCCTTCCTTCCATCTTTGTCCGAGTAACGTGTACTTCAAAGTTACAAAATTAACTTTACAACTTATTTGGGCTTCTTTCAATATAATTCAAAATGTCAGAATTGTCCTATGAGACTTCACTAGACCTAAAATTTATATAGAGTAAAATTACTTTATTCTTTTCAAATTGATTTGGGGAATTTTTTTATTTAAAAATGAATAGTTCTTTTGGGTGTATTATGTATAGTAAGATTTGGCTAAAGCTGAATTTTCTACTTGTAGGTGTATAGATTTTGCTTGCTATTAGAGATGGCAAATTGACCCGCCTTACCCAGGATAGGTTGGGTTCGGGGCGAGTTTGCACGGGTACCCTACCCGTTGCCATTCCTGGGGGTGGGGTAGTATTCTTCCAAAGAAAAAAATGCTTTCAAGTAGGAATGATTGGGGCCCATTTCCATTCTTTGTGGGAATGGGGATGGGATTGGGATTTCTAGCTTTGTTGGGATACGAGGGAAGAATGGGATGCGAAACCCACCCTACCCCGTTGCCATTCCTAATAGTTCTACATACACTACAGTTGGTGCCAATTGCGGAGGTGGTATTTGGGGTCTTCCGCTTGTATCCAGCTTAGATTTATTAATATATGTATTTTTGTTGCTACTACAAATAGAAATTTAATAATTTATTTTCAAATTCAGATATGCATGATATCCATTGGGAAATGAAAACCTCGATGACTAAGGGGGTTTTGCGAATGGAGTCTAGCTGCACTTGAATATGGATGGCTAGGGTTTCAAGTTGGGTGGGCCAGGCTGGGTTTAAAGGTCAACCTAATCCCAACCCTAAATTGGGCATGAGGCCTGAGCCCGAGGTCAAGCCTGATCTTTCTAAGACTTGGATTGGTCAATTGGGTTAAGTGTGCTTGTTAGGCTTAATATACTTTTCATAAACCTATTTAGTATTACTAATTTAAGCCTTTAAATAGGAATTTTGCATACAAGCGCGTGCATGCATATATATATATATGTATGTGTGAATGTGTGCAATTAGGCCGGGCTGAGTTCGGGTCAGGCTTAGGTTACCTAGGGGCTAAGCCCCAACTTAGTCCAAAAAATAGAAAAGCCCAAAACCCATGTTTTGGGGCTTAAACCCAAGACAAAAAATCTAATCCCAGCCTGTGCAAAATTGTGGGCTGAATAGGCCTGGGCTTGGATAGATCCCACCTAAGTTTGCACCCCTACTTGTGGCTGTGCTATAGGGGTTGTTAACCAATAACAATGCCCCTTATCAGCCATCAAATGTATATATGCCCCACAACCAACCTCTAATCTCTCACTTTGCATGCATGATTGATGATTGACGAGGGACGTTGTTATTGGTTGAATAGCTCGTATTGTAGCCATCAAGTGCAATTACTTTGGAGAAATCAGCTACTCAATATCGCTGGGCTAAAACCATGAAATCATGACCTTTGATGCATTGCTGTGGCCCCATCTTACGTGGCTTCATCCAATTCAAGGTGGACACATCAATATCTTGAGGGCCATGATTCACGGTTCTCCAATAGGAGTGACTGATTTGGGCTAGTTTATCTGCATTGTTTTTGTTTCAAAAACAAAATCATGCATATCCCCACTAATGGTGGACACAAATCAAGTTTTTTATGAATTATTTGAGCTCAATTTGTGAAAAGCTCGATTTAGCTTGGTATAAATTGAACTTTGAGCCAAGCTTGGGGTCAATATGTATACTCATTTACTAATCGAGCTGAGCTCAAGCCTAATGAAGCTTGACTCAAGAGGCTCGTGTATCTAGTCGAGCTTATATAATATATAATATTTGTAATTATATGTAATGACATAATTTTTAATTATATATATATATATTAATAACTTTTATATGAATAATTTTTTATTGTTTATATGAAATTCCACTCACTATCGAGCTTGAGCCAAGTCAAGCTCAAATATGTAAGCTTTTGAGTTGAACCAGATTTGAGCTCATGTCTCTTGTTCGATCAAGCTCGAACCTGATGCTTTTATGCCAAGCTAAGATTGTCTAGCTAGATATTTGGCTTGAATCCGCCCCTAACTCCCCACCAAGACGCATATTATGAGAATCTTGGGATTTACATCAAGAGGACAGACGTTCTCTTTCAACAGACAATAACTCAAAAGGAAGATCGGAAGAATATCATTTCCCTAGTACTATGATAGTTCATTTTCAGGAAACCATTTGTTTACGACCCATTTCTCTTTTTCTTCTTCTTTCTTCTTCTCTTAGGAAATCTTTGTTTTGAGACTTTTTGCACTTATAAATGTGCAAGGTGATAGTTAATAAATGGGGCTGGACTAGAAGATTTTTGGAGTCTAATTAAAAGATGAAAGTTTATTACATGGGCCAGCCAAGTTTCGAGGAGACCGGACCACTTGCCAACAATATATGTTCCTAAAACCCTGAGAACAACATCTGACACTACAAAAATCTCATACATGGTGGGTCTCACTTTTATGGTAGCCCCAATTTTATAGGGAGATGTGCGGTGTCAGATCAAGTTGGTACTGTATTGGAACTTGTTTTATTGGTGGGTGATACCAACTCAGTTTCGAGTTGCTTTCACATTTATGTTTGACTCAGATTGAGATGCAGCAAGGTTTCTTATAATGAACTTGCCTATTATGAGTGAAACTTAGGCACAGTTTGGAAGGAGTACAAATACAAATTTGTAGAATGCAAAGCCTTATATTTTGTATTATGTTGCATGTATTTGTACTGTACATATTTGCATTTGTACTCTTTTCAAACTGAGCCTTTAGGTGTGACCAACCGAACTTAGACCAACCCAGCCCACAACTAATCTCAGTAAATCAATATTGTAATTTACCAAAAACTTATTAATAAAATTTTGGTAATTTATCAAAAATTAATGCCAGTAAATTAATATTGGTTAATAATAATAAATTAATAATCTACCAGATAATTAATGGTTTACCAAAAATCATTAATTTTGTCAATTATAAAACTATAATTTAGGAAATTTTTGAAAATTATTTTAACTTAATAAAATTAATAATTTTCGTAACTTTTGCAAATATTAAATATTTGTTAGTATAATTGTTAGTTATATATAGTGACAAAATATTAATTGTCTGTTGATGCATCAAGCAGCCGGGTCAATGGTGGGTGAAAACACTACTTTCAGTTAAGAGAGGGTTTTTTTCATTTATTTTAGAAGAAAAAAAAAAGGTTGGAGGTTGATATGAATCAGTATAACCACTGGTTGAAAACACCGACTTAAACACTTCCATCTCTAAAAGTAACAGTATATCGTGGAGGGATGGAAAGTAACTTAGGCCCCGATTGGTTCACGGGAATAGGGGTCTGGAATTGGAATCGGAATTGAAATGGGCTATTTTTGATTCTAAGGCCCCATTTGGTTCATGGGAATAGGGGTCAAGAATTGGAATCGGAATGGGCTATTCTAATTCCAACTGTTTGGTTGGATGGAATCGGAATACCATTCCCATTCCTGTTGGAATGGCATTCCCCCATTTGAGGGAATGGCCGTTTCCTGTCCCTCCCTTGGAATGAAATTCCATTCCTGCTGATTTCAATTCCCATTCCCATTTCCATTCCTGGTTGGAGGATTTTGATTCCGATTCTGATTTCAATTCCGGTTCCAACTACGAACCAAACAGATCCTAACCATTTCCATTCCTACCAGAATGGCATTCCTCCAATTTGAGGAAATGGCCTTTCCCTGCCCCTCCCTTGAGAATGGAATCCCATTCCTGTTGGTTCTAATTCCCATTCTCATTCCTATCTGAACCAAACGGACTATGGGAATAGACTAATCCGACTCTGATTCCAACTGAAAACTAAACGGACCCTTAGCTCCAAAGTACAAGGGGTGAATAGATCAGTATGTAAATCTAAGGGAGGTCTTGGTATTTGACTGAAACTCCAGGGGGTATAAGTAAATTACCCAATTATTTTTCTGTTTCCACATTTCACATCAACACTTTGTGATGTTGTTTCTAAAGTATCAACATTTATTATGAAAACAATGAATTAGAACTTGAAGAACTACTGGAATAAAGAAATCAGTTCTGAGCTTCTCCTTCAAGAGCCGAGTAGTCTATGTGCTGCATAAATCCCAAGACCCACCAGCACAGCAATGACCACTGTTACACCAAGAAAAACCTTGCCTCTCTGCTTGGTTAAGTTCCAAAGCGAAACGCTTGTCCATTGATCTTGCAAAGGGATTCTATTTGTTGTCTTTGGCAGCGTAATATAAAGAGTTTCATCCACAAATCTGGCCTTAATTTCATTCGGTTTACAGTTCTTCAGGATACCAAAATCCTTCTGGAAACGGTTTGGTCTGTTATTCTCAACTAGACGTTCTACACTGATACTCAGCTTGCCGCGATTGTTGAACTCAACACTTAGCTGCTCCTTTCTAAAACCTATTTAAAATAAGAGAAGATAAATGATGAGTCTAAAAAGATGAGTTTTCTGTATTTTTTTTTCTTTTCTTTTGGTACTAGATGGTGGAGTCATGGGTGAAAATTCGCATCTGCTGCAACTGTGGTCGCATGTGATTTCAATAACATTCAGAACCAACTGAAGGTGGTGCAATGGGTAGGTTATCTGGTTATTTATAGCAGACTTGGGATCAAATCCCACAGCCACTGGGGTTGGGATGTTGGGGTCTAGTGGGTTTAGAGATGGGTTACCCCCACCCCGAGTCCACTCCTCACAGAGTGCTCTTCACATCAGCCTCATACCATATCTTGACTGTACATCGCAAACATCTCTCATATTTGTATTTATTATTTATAGGCAGATGTTTCAATACAAGATGGGATGTCACTGTAAGATCAGTGTGAGTGGCACACTGTGAGGAGCAGATCCCAATTTCCCCCAACCCCCACTCCTTTGTATGGTATTGTAGTCACATGAAGTCAAAAAGATAAAATAAGATATGACATATCAGCATTTTAAATAAACTCAAGACATTACATTAACTTGTTTATTTTTTCAAGAAATACTGGTGTATTCATTTTGTATTGGGAAACGCATGTGACCACGGTTGCAGCAGATTTTTCTTCATGTGTGTAGACAGAGGATAGGTAAAGGTGCATGTGAGGCCCACTGGCCATGGAGAGCCCACAGTTCTGCAGGTTTTATCCTACATCTCCTTTTTCATAGGGAAAACTTATGGGCTCAGGCCCATTGAAAATTTAATAAATATACCCAAATCAGTAGATGACCCAATAGTTGAGATGGTCAAATACTACCCCTCCCCCTTGTAATGTGTGTAATGTAATATGAGAGAGAGAGAGAGAGATTGCAAATAAATGAGGTTAGAAAATGTACCAGGGAGATGGAGGACAAGAGTCTCATTTCCTTCCTCATTGATCACCCAATCAAAAGAGGGTTCGAAGTCTTGGGATGAGCTTGCTGCAGGTCTATCTTGAACCTTGGCATCCATCAGAGAGGCTTGTTTTTGTTCTTTCTTCTTCTGGCTGAAAGTGTAAGTGTTTGAATGATGGAAAGGAAGAGGACTACTCCCACGACTTTATACATGTACCTATACTACCTTCTTGGGTTTCCTTTCAAATAGAGTTATTCCTTTTTTGCCTTTTTGGGTCTGAGATGTTTTTCTGTGTCTGCCTGCAGGATATATCCTTAACTCATGCAGAGATGATCGCATGACAAAGGCAAACCGAAGTTGGTTCCTGTAATTTAGGTATCTAAAAATCCATCAAACATGTGAAACTTACTTTCAAATTCCCAAATTACCCTCTTTGTATGTGGCAAGTTTCTGCTCATTTCCAGCATAAACATATAAAGCTCAAGACTCTAAGCTCTAAAGAAAAGATATCTTTTTCTAGGAACACAATTAGGGGGTGTTTCAGTATGATATTGTGTGTCTGTCATGCAATTTTATCATAGAAAACTGTGATATTGTTGTAGATTTTGAAAGAAAAATATTTTTATTGATTTTAATTAAATTATATTTTTATTAATTTGTAAGAATTTTAAAAAATAAAATACTTTTTGCTAAGTATGTTAACAATTTTTTATTGTTTTCAATTATGTTATTTTTTATTAATTATTTGAATTTATTTTTTATAAAATAAATTCTACTAATTCTAGAGTAAGTTAATAAAACTAAGTTATTCCCTTATTTATATTTTTTATTATTTTTTCATTTTTAATATTTTCTCAAATAAATATTATTTTTAATATATTATTTTTTTGTTATTTTTAGTGATTTTTTCTTATTTTAGAAGTTAATTAAAAATAAGTTTCTATTTTTTTTTGTTATTTTCTGATTTTTATAAACTTTCCCTTATTTTATGGACTTTTCCTATTAATTAATAAAATTGTTAATATTTTTTCCGTCTTATCCCCTTGAATTTTTGTTTTTTTTTTATATTTTCTAATTACTAAAATAATTTTTAGTGAAAAATTATCTTATTTAAATTTTTAGTTTTCAAATTTACATAACTAGTTGAATTGATCAAATCAGATCGATTTAGCTCAATATGAATTGGTAATTGAAACTAGCAAGTTGGATGGTTTTTAGGTATTCAAATAACAAAACCCATTAACCTCGTCTTCTTGATGCTTAGAGATTTTTGGGCCCTCAGTTCATTTGTTTCTTTGGAATTCTTTTTCTCCTAGAAAATTACAAGCAAAGTTGGGGAAGCAATCTAATCCATTTGATCTACCATTCTGACAATATGGAGACAATTCATGTTCGTAGAAAGTACTTTAAGAAAATTAGTAGTTAAATTTTCACATTATTTATAGAAATGTTTTTTTAGTTAAAATTTAACAAAATTTTCTTGAAAATATAATAGAAAAATATTTTATTCAAAATATAATTAATACTAAAATTAATATTTTAACAAAACAAGTTAATTAATAGTGAAATTAAAAATGTTTCTAATATTAATTTTCAAGACATATTCTCTAAAAATTTATTTAGCAAATTTGGAAAACCAAACCGAATCAATCATAGGGATGGAAATTTTCCCCCCTTAAACCGAGTTCTTACCCCATCCCCAATGTGGTGGATTTTTGCTAAGAATGGCAATAGGGCAGGTTTGAGGTTAGGCACCCCATCTCCACCCCTTCCTCGTAGCCAAAATCCCCTACACCATCCCGTCACTGTCCCACCCCATCCCTAGTGGCAGAGTGGGTTTGAAGTTGGGCACCCTCCCCACTAGGAATAGGGGATCCCCAAATTTTCCTCACCCTAAGGCAATCACTTAAAAATACATTAAAATTTGGGAGTATTTTAGAAATGAGATTGTAGGAATTTTGGGAGTACTTTTGAAATGTGATTATTAGATCCTAGGGTTTTGGAAATTTGAGGGAATTCAAGGGTAATTTAGAAATTAATATTAAATTTAGGGATATTTTAATAACTTACCATTGGGTTTGGGGAATTATATGCAAACTTTGTCCCCACCCTATTCCTGATTTGAGGTAAAGATATTTTCCCCATCCTAGCCCGTCTAAGATTGGGTTGGGAAAACCTACCCCATTTGGGGTGGGGTGGAGCTAGGCAAGGCCTTGGTTTTACGGGAAAAGTTGCCATCCCTAATTTTCCTTGATCTTAAATGGGGATGGGGTTGGGGTATAACTCCTCAAACCCGTTCTGAACCTAGTGGTACTCCTAGGTTTATTCTTAATTTCTAAAATGTCCCTAAGTTTCCCTCAAATTACCATAACCTTAGAATCCCAAAATCTTACTTCTAAAATATTCCTAAATTCTCATAGTTTCATTTTAAAAATACTTCAAAATTCCTATTATCCCATTACCAAAATACCCCTAAATTTGATGTACTTTTAGGTAGTTGCTTCGGGGTGGAAAAATTTGGGGATTCCCTATTGGTGCTTTGCCCCGAACCCACACTATTTCCATTCCTAATCAATCAAAATCTATTCAAGTTGATAACTAAAAGTTTATATTTTATTGACCCATCTTCTTGTTGTAGTGTTTGCTAGATTTCAACATCAATACAAATAGTGATGCGTGGAGCCCAAAATGTCTCATGGAAAGAGAGAGAGAGAGAGATTTTATTGAAATATTATTTATAATTATAATAAGATTTTTAATTAATTATTAAATTTTATTACTTTTTTATTATTTGTCTTATTATCTATTTTTCTCTTATTAATATTTTAGGTTTTTTACTCATCTTATTTCAATATTTGTTTTGACCTAAAATATTATTTTCAAAAAAAGTTAACTTAAACATTAATATTTCAATGCATTGATGAAGAATAAAAATTATGTATGTATTTGGAAGGTGGAGATAAATAGAGATAGGAATAGAGAGAGGTAGAGACGTTAGAATTAGATAGTTTATTGGGCATTTGACACAAACTAGGAGATGCTCGAGGAGATAGTTTAGGAGAAATTTTAGGAGGGGGAGATGATTTAGGTGATTAGGAATGTGTGCGTAAGAGAGAGAGAGAGAGATTTTAAGAAGATTTCTAAGATTTGATTTGAATTGTTGAGAGGGAGGATGACATGGCCCAGAGAGCTCCTTACAACACATCTCAACCACACACGGGAACATCTTTTGTACTTATATGTTTTTATTCATGGGAGATGTTCTAAATAAGCAATGGGATGTATTGTGAGATCAATGTGATGTGCATTTTGTGAGGAGCAAATCCTGATTCGATTGGAAAGGAGAAAGGAGAGAGAGTTGAGGAAGCAAGAAAGGGGATTTAAAGAAAGGAGAGTCAAGTTGATGTGGATTGCTTTGCTTATATATAGTATAGATCCCATGTATGTCAATTTTTGTAATGAATAGATCAATTCTATTTAATCATATAAAACTAACCTAGATATATATCATACACAAACATTGACAAACACAATATTATAAATGTAGGCTATGTTTATGTGTTTTATTTTCTAAATGTCTATCTATTCTTACTACAAAAGTATGAATCCAGTAACATTTTTTGGCTTTTATCATTTTTCTGAATTTTTTTACCTAGAATACAACTGATTTGTTTTTCTATTCAAAATGATGCTTTCTACCATTCACATAAAAATAATTTAAGAGCAGCACTATATTTATCTTTAAATGATTATTATAATGGGAGTAATGAGGATCGAACACTAGACTATTTGGCCAAATAAGCTCCGATACCATCTCAAGAAACCATTAAACCTAAAATCTTAAATTGTTAAGTGAGGTCTTTTAATAGGTTTTTATTCTCTAATACTTTGACTATAATATGTACTGCAAGTATGATAAAAGATGGTTACAGGTTAGTATGTACAATTACGTAAGCTGGAGAAAACAACATTAGCTTCTCATATACAAAGCAAAAGTGGGGCAGTAGATAGTGGTTTGGTGAAAATGTTGGTCACCTAATCCTGTGACCGAATAAAACACACCTAAAGACTGTTGACTTGAACATGTTCTTGCACAAAATGGTAGTCCAACTCAATAATACTTGCTGTGAGCATGAAAACTAGGGTTCGATGTCAGAAATGTTTCTCCCAAATTATCACACCAAAGAGTGGGAGCATTGCATCTACATGAGTTCAGTTCAAGGTTCAAAATATCGATATGTTTGATATGCCAGTAGGGGCATATCAGACGTTTCGATACTTGTTTTTTTACTTTTTTTTTTTATTTTTTTTCAAAACTAGTTCAAGGGAGTCGGTGTAGGACCCCTCCATCCCTTGAACCAGTCAGACCCCCGATACACCCACTGTAGGGGCGTATCAGAAGGGTCCCAGAACGATACGTATCGGCCGATACGGGCCGATATGTAACGATACTTTGAACCTTGGTTCAGTTGTTGCAATCATGAGAGAGCGCTATACGTAACGATACGTATCGGCCGACGGGGATAAAATTTGTTCTCCATCCCTGATCCCCAACAGGGATGGGTTCCCCGCGGGGACTCAAATCCTCGAAATTTTTTTAAATAACAGTATTTATTTGAAAAATAATACTTAAAATAAATAAAAAATTTAAATTATAAATAATTTTTTAAGTATATTTTGATATATATAGTATAAATAATATAATAATATATATTTAATATATAATATAAATAATATAATAATATATATACATAATCGGGGTCGGGGTGGGGCAGGGACCTCAATCCCCATCCTTGACCCCATTGGGTCGGGGAAGTCGGGTCCCCGTCGGGGATGGGGAAAATTGCCATCCCTACGAGTATGTCTTTGAACTTTGAACCCTTTTGCAATTTCTAGTAATCCAGTGAATGACTATTCTTCACCAATCACCAACCTTCCTTTCAAGCTCGAGTAAGAGTTTTCCATTCCCTATTTGTGCAAGGACCCAAGTCGCGGACAAGAAAATCCCTTGTAAGTCACAAAATTGTTGAAGAAAATCCCTTATATACGTTTGGGGACTCAAATCGTTGAAAAATTCAAACAATTTTTGAGAAGGTGATGAAGAACAAAATTCTATTGGGTTGATCGTTTGAGGACAAAACGGGAAAAAAAAAGAAG